GGCCAAATATGCTGCGATTATTCTGCGGATACTGCGGATTCTAACTTCAGTTCGATTCTAGGACGGATTTAAAGTCACCGAGGCATGGGTATGCAATTGTTAAGAGTATTCGTGTGACTACTCATTCACTGACGCTGGCGACTAGATAGGAAACGGCGTGCGATGGCTCGAGGATATCCAAATGTTCTATCGCGAGCGAGCCGCTCTCGAGAAGGAGTATTCCATGAAGTTGCTCACGCTGACTAAGAAGTATTTCGACAAGAAGGCCAAGAAAAGTATCAATCTAAGTGTTGGTGATAATCCTCAGGTTACTCCAGGATCTCTAGAATCGTATGTACCGCGCCGCTAGACTTTCGTGGAGCATCGACTAATGAAGCGCAGGGCGAGTCTGGTCACCTGGACAGACATTCTCACGCAGACCGAGAATATGGCGAACGAAAAGGATAGATTATCAAATGAACTTTCATTACAGATTGCGGACCAACTGAGAGGATTACAGAATCGCTATGAGGAGTTTAGAAAGAAGGTCTGCATGGATCAATAGAATTGTGAATATGATCTAACGCGGTATATAGCATGTCGCGTTTAACGAGAATTTAATCGAGGAACGAGATGAGGCATACTCTGAGCTGAAGAAGTCAAAGCAGGCGTATGATGCTGCCTGTCAGGTCGTTGAGAATTCGAGAACAAAAGTCGAGAAGTCTTTTGACAGTAGTAAGGTATGTTTTAGAGTTAAACCTATGACTGACCACTGCGCTGACGCTTCAAAGACGAAAGCTACGAGGCACTATGAACAGCATCGGCTGGACATGAATAATTCCAAGGTATAGTTTAACCTTATGTTTGTGGTGAAACACTGTTAATGATGTAGAACACGTATCTTATCTCTATCAACGTTACGAATCGTCTCAAGGATAAGTACTACTTCCAAGACACTCCAGCTCTTCTTGACGTACGTGCAGCTATAATAGGCGCTTTGACGTCGCTAATCCGTTGACAGAGCATGCAAGATCTGAACGAAGCGCGCGTCAGGAAATTAAACTATATCTGGTCTCAGGCGGCAATGCTTGAGACGGCGTGCCTTGAACGATGTAAAGACCACCTTGTCTCTTCCGCTCATTCGATATCAATAAATGATCCCGGTCTTGATTCTGCTATGTTTATGCGTCACAACTCGGTTCCTGACTGGGCTCCACCCCCGGACTTCTTGTATGAGCCTTCCCCGATTTGGCATGACGACGATGAGATGATTACGGACGAACCTGCAAAGGTGTATCTGCGGAATAAGATAGCGCAGTCGAGACGTGGTATTCAAGAACTGCGAACTACAGTTGAACAGAAGCGGAAAGACATTGATTCCTTGTATAAGCAGCGTGAAATGGCGATAGAGGATTCTACTAAAGGCAACTTCGATGAGGTATTTACCAAACTAATCGTGGCCCAACGTGACGCGGCAGTGGCTGACAGTAAGCGAATTGCGCTGGAAGTCGAAGTGGAGACAGTGGAATTAGTTGTCGGTGACATTGTTAAAGGCACGAAGCCGCATAACTTTAAGAGCGTGTCTTTCAAGATTCCGACAACGTGTATGTTCTGCAATGATACTATGTGGGGCCTAACGCGCCATGGATTCAAGTGTCAAGATTGCGGGTACACTTGCCATGCCAAGTGCCAAATGAAAGTTCCTGCTGACTGTGGCGGAATGGTCTCGAAGAAGAAAAAGAAGAAAAACAAAGAGAATTTGGAGACCAGTAGCTTAGCTAATGGCGATGACAGCGAGGATGGGGCCAGTTTCACTCGAACGAGTACGGTAACGTCGTACACATCATCCATGCTCGATACGGTCTCCCGATTCGGTAGACATAAATCTGGGTCGAAGACGGCGAGGAAAGCGGCAGCGACCACCGATCCTTATGCATTGCACAATGCGGGTCCAAGGATAGAAGAAGTGCGTGCCAAGTACGCATATACTCCGAATGGAGATGGGGAAATCCCGCTTTCAGAAGGCGATCGACTGGAGATTTTAGAATCACACGACGGTACTGGATGGGTTCTAGTGCGAAATGGTATTAGTGAAGGTTTGGTCCCGTTCAGTTATATAGAAATCGTTCCCGATCGTACCCGTGCCTCATCGGTCTCATCGTCCACCGCCTCGGTTGCTACTGGCAGTAAGAAGAAGGGACCGGCAGTCGCACCAAAGAAGGGTGCGAAGAAGATCAATTATGTGGTACGTCTTGTCTCAGTGGCGGTTGACAATGTTGTCTGATTGTTGTGCAGATCGCAATGTACGATTATATCGGGACGTCGGAGGCGGAACTCACTATTCACGAAGGCGATAAAATTATGCTTACTGGTGGAGATACTGGTGAAGGATGGACCGAAGGTACATGTCAGTTTGTCTCTACGATATGTTTGTAATTGACAGTTATTAGGCGAACTGAACGGCATACTTGGTAGTTTCCCATCTAATTACGTCCGTCCCGCTGACTAAACGGAGAGTGAAACGCCGAAATCGTGGGTTTAGTATGGTCACAGATTTATTTTCTTCGTGGCACTTACTTCCCAGTTTCATTGTTAGTTCGTTGTAAAAGCTCATTGTTCTTGCGATGCTACAGCGGGATTTGCATGTGGCATCATTACTTATATTTCTACAGCTATTAGTTTGTGATTGATAAATAGGAGTTCTTGTGTATATGTTGATAAACAGTGTTATTTAACCTTGGACCTCAAAGCTGAACTGTGGTCATATTAATTTCCAAATTTTTGTAGGACAAGCCCTTGCCTAGACTAAAGCATTCATTAGTTTTTCATAGTGACCAAATAGCTATAAACCTTGGAATACCTGGTGTTTGCGGCTGACTGAGCGCTGATAAATATATTCGCAGAAGTCATGCACACTACTCTATGCCGTTTTTTTAAGCGCGACTCCCAACAGCAATCAGAAATTTCTCTACTTAACTCACACGTCTATCATCATTTATATTAGCGTCGTATCTTGCTTCCACATCTTCACAATACTGGAAAAAAATAGATGCCACCGCTATCAACGCGGTCGCCACTAGGCGGGTATAAGACCCGTCGCGACAACGCTCGTCAGAGAGTGCTTGACAAATACGAAATTCTGGGATATATCGCTGCCGGTACTTATGGACGGTAGGTCTCATTCTCTTTAACTGTGATCATAATATTCGTCGATGATTATATCCTGGACACTAATGCATAACTCAGAGTATACAAGGCTCGTTTGAGGGTTGGGTAAAGCACATCGTAACATGGGTGTCTTTCAATAATGCTAATTACAGCAGAAAACCGCTTGAGTTTGCCATCAAAAAATTTAAAGCCGACAAAGAAGGCGAAATAACACATTACACCGGCATCTCACAGTCGGCGTGCAGGGAAATAGCACTGTGTCGAGAACTTCGGCATTTGAACGTGACTACGCTGGTTGAAATTATTCTCGAGGATAAGTGTATCTACATGGTCTTCGAATACGCCGAACACGATTTACTGGTGCGTCCAGAACATTTCTATCGCCAATTTAGTGGAGAGAATGTGCTGACTTGACTGTAGCAACTAGTGCATTTCCATTCACATCCGGATCGCCGACATTTCCCGGAGTCGACTATAAAATCTATCCTTTGGCAGCTATTGAACGGTGTCTCGTACTTACATCAACACTGGGTTTTGCACCGGGACTTGAAACCCGCCAACATTATGGTGACAGCGGACGGCGTTGTCAAGATTGGAGATTTGGGACTTGCTAGATTGTTTTACAAGCCATTGCAGCCACTCTTTACTGGTGACAAAGTCGTTGTCACCATATGGTACCGTGCGCCGGAATTGCTACTTGGCGCTAGGCATTATACTCCGGCAGTTGACATGTGGGCGGTTGGGTGTATTTTCGCAGAATTGTTAGCATTACGCCCGATTTTCAAGGGCGAAGAGGCCAAAATGGATAACAAAAAAATTGTTCCATTCCAACGGAACCAAATGCAGAAGATAACTGAGATCTTAGGGTCTCCTAGCAGTGAGTAGTATTCTGGATAAGGGAGTCCGTTTTTATTATTTTTTTGCTGACAACAGTAGAGGAGAATTGGCCTGCGCTGCCGCAACATCCTGAGTATCAGGCTTTGTCCACTTTTCGACATTATCCCAACATGTTGGAGAACTGGTATCACTCGGTCGGTGCCACTCATCCGAGGGGATTTCAGCTATTGCAAGGACTATTGGAATATAACCCTCTGAAGCGATTAACTGCCGATCAAGCATTACAGCATCCATATTTCAACGAAATGCCGAAGGCCAGTGGAAAGTATGTCACAAATGGTCTCAATTATTAGTTCATTTCATTAACTTCGACGTAGCATATTTGAAGGTCAGAATATAGAGTACCCGAATCGTCGCATATCCAACGAAGATAACGATATTAAGACCGCGTCGTTGCCGGGAACGAAACGCAGTGGGTTGCCAGATGACTCGTTGCCAGTGCGGAAGAAATTGAGAAATGATTAGTTATTGTATATTGTTCATCATTTGGAGTTCTGCTAGATTGTCATAGTCGTGCACAAAGAGTATAAACCATTGTAAATAGGACGAATTCTAATTCTAAATTGCTTCCAGCCTAATCGGAATGTGGCCAGGAACGGACACGACAGCATCAGGACGTCCTAACCCGGGGAACATTGAAGAGACCATGGCGGAAATCCGGTGGATAGCAGAGTGCAAGAGTCGGCGCCGAGATTGGCAGGTGAGTGAGTGAAGATATTTTTTTGTTAGAAGCCAGTTATTACTATGTACATTATTGTCTGGCCAACGAATAGGACTAAAACAAGGAAACTGGACTATAAATGAATTTTAACAAATATAAACAAGAAACGACAAAACAAGCGAAAGGAACGAGTTAAAGGTAAGGTAACCGAACTATGACTAAAGCCAGGGTTAGGGTGCCGGTGCTGGCCGCTATATGTAAGTATACTCCTATACCAATTGTATTAAAATAGATAGTCCCGGTGGCCGAGTGGTTAAGGCGACGCCCTGCTATTATATCATTGTAGTTTAGGCGTTGGGTTCTGCCCGCGCAAGTTCGAATCTTGTCCGTGACGATTTTTTTAACATTTTTTTTATTTGCGATACTATTGTTTTGGCATTTATGTGGAAAGTTGGCTAATCCGAGAGTAGCGGATCGATGTCATATGTTAATTAATATTGTGCCTTAGATTAGCGCTATCGCCCATATTAACTAATTAGCGCTGCCAAAGCAACTCAGATCTTCTCTTTCTTCCGCTGGCCCCATTTTACTGCACACTGAACTGTCTTCAGCCCTCCAGTACTAAAGCGCACGCAGCTAATGCTCTCTAGTTGTGTTGCCCTTGTTTTTGGTCTACGGCAGTGGTTGTGCACTATCCTCTCGTCATTCATCATCGAACCTTGACCCTTCGTGTCGTCCATATTCATCCATAGACAGACCTCTGCCTCCGTCTCTAATCTTCATCAGTCCCCGTTGCGTTGCGCTATATTTCTACACCATGGGCAACACCATGGCGCGCCTCATGGTACGAGTACCTCCTGATCTTCGTTCGTTCGTGCACATGTTCGCATTCTAACTCATCCAAGGCGCGTATATTCGGTGGTCGTGAGATAAGGTCCATTGCCTGCCTCGTTGTGATTCTAGTTCTCTGCTGACCAATCGCCCAGGCTGATTATGCTCGGTCTCGACGCTGCTGGCAAGACAAGTTCGTAATTTGCTCTGCATTTGCCCTCATTGAAAATGCTATTAACATTTTACAGCAATCTTATTCCGACTCAAACTTGGACAGGGGTGAGTCATCACGACAACCATCTCGAACAATTACTGACTTCTACAGCGTCACAACCATACCGACTGTTGGATTTAACGTCGAGTCTGTGACATACAAAAATGTCAAATTCAATGTCTGGGTAAGTCATTACGAGGCGGTACACAACGTGGCATGCTAATAGTCTCAGGATGTTGGCGGACAAGATAAGATACGTCCTTTATGGCGACATTACTATACCGGCACTCAGGGCCTCATCTTCGTCGTTGACTCTGCAGATCGTAAACGGATAGGTGAAGCCAAACAAGAGTTACACAGGATTATCTCCGATCGCGAAATGCGAGACTGCTTGCTGCTCATTTTTGCCAACAAGCAGGACTTGGCTGATGCCATGAAGCCTACCGAAGTCACAAAGGAGCTCGAGCTTGCCAGTTTGAACGATCGGATATGGTTCGTGCAGCCGAGTACTGCGAAGACAGGCGATGGATTGGCGGAGGGTCTCAGTTGGCTAAGTGCAAATATACCGAAAGAAACGCGGTAATTGTGGGGTGAAGTGATAATTGATAATTCAAAAGGCAAGAATGCACACGAGGATCTTCTGCATTCTTAATCCTTTGTCGTTGTTTCGGCGGCCTCAGATATCATGGATTAATATATCGATTCGCTGGTCTCAGAGGACACATTGTTGCATCTTTACTAACATAATATTAGTATGCGGTACTCGGCCTAAATGCTTGGTTTCGTATGGGATTGAAATATTCTGTGTATTGTTAGGTCATTTAATAGTAGCATGATTTAGTCTTTCCCGGTTTTACTTTGTTGAATTCGATATTATCTGAGGTATCAAGATGGAAGATGAAATAATTATCAGATATGCTGTCGGGGTGCATGTCCAGAGTTTATCACAGGGTTAGCTACTATCGTCGTAGTAGTCTTTCCTACTTAGAATAGGTCAGAAAGATTGTATCGAAAGACTTGGAAATATCTGCCAATAACTCATAAGTTACGATCATTCCACTCTCCTCCATAAGTATCATATGCGACGGACGATACTCGCAACAATTGCAACTCCAGCTTAAACCAATAGCCCGATACACTGCAGTATCGTTCCCTACATAACTCGACGCAATCTCCAATAACATCGTAGGTCTGCAACTTAACTTCAAGTCGAAAGTACTCTTAGAGAAATGAGAATATATTAGATGCCTGCAACGGTAGAGAGCTTCTTGCGACACGTGTCCTGTGTCCAGCCCAGCGACGGTCTGTTTTCATTTTTTTGAACTGACATCAAGCACCAGGTTTGCCACTTCATTCATCAGGATCGTCTTGGTTGTCTTTTAAATTAACTGGGACTACTGATCCAAAAAAACCTTCTTCCCGACATAAAGTTTAAGGTTCAACTGACAAGATCCAGGGGGTTCAGCCGTGGATGAAATCATATCGGCGGCATGTGCATAAAACATGGTGGTTACATCAAAACTCCGCACTCCAAGCTGAAATCCTGGGCTTGGAGATCTAAGATTCAACAATCACCACGACGTAGTGGACTTAACCGTCACCTGTCCGTCTTACTGACCGTCAAATTCCAAAGTTCAAAACAAACGAACAAGGAGCTGTTTCAACACCAGTGCCATTCTAGAAGCAACATTTACGTGAAGTGTACACTACCGTCATAGATTATTTTATCATATGTCAAATGCCATTAGTTGGACTACTGCCCGTTGCAATCATGAATACAATTCTAGGCCGCCATTGTTCCAGCAGTACATGCTTCTGCTCACATATTTCGCGGTGTTGACAGTGACACCAACTCGTACACTGATACCCTACACATCTAAGAACCAACGTAGGGAATATACCACGCTGGTTATTTATTTCAATTGCCTCTTGTTGACAGCTGCGCGCAAGGCGGCTATGGCCTCCTGAGGGTCCTGTGCCCGGAAGACACCTGCTCCAATTAACTCTCATCACCCAAAACAAAAATTTAGCATCTAGTACATACCGGTGCCAGCAACAATGACATTGGCGCCCGCGTCAGCAGCAAAGTCAATGGTATCAATACTCAGACCTCCATCAACTTCGATGTCAAGCTCCGGAAACTTCGACCGTAGCGCCTCAACCTGCGGCATGGTTAGTAGACGAAATTTCTTGTATTCTACATTCTGCGCCTACCTTGGGCATGCAATCCTTCATGAATTTCTGTCCACCAAATCCCGGTTCGACAGTCCTGAGCACGATATTGGCATAGTCTCACTCCAATATTGACACAGCTACTCACATAACCAGGACCATGTCCAGCTTCGGAACAAGATCGAACACAGCGGAGGCTGGGGTTTTCGGCTTGATAGCGCAGCCAGCGCGCATGCCCGCGGCGTGGATCTTGTCAATGAGCGCTTCGTGCTCTGTAGTGGCCTCATAGTGGAAGCAGTACAGATCGCTGCCTGCCTTCGCAAAATCCTCGACCCAACGTTCTGGCTGTCATTGCTGTCAGAAACTATCGGAACAGACACGATATGACTACTACTCACTTCAGAAACCATCATATGGCAGTCAAAGAAGCTATCGCCCTTAGGAAGCACCCCTCGGATGCAAGTCACGACCGGAGCGCCGATGGTTAGATTAGGGACGAAATGGCCGTCCATGATGTCGATGTGCAGCCAGTCGGAGCCACACTTCATCATGCGCTTGCATTCGTACTCGAGGTTGGCAAAATCGCCTGGCGGTTGATTAGAAGGCTGAAGGCTGCTGTCAACAGGCAAGTAGAGACTTACCGGCAAGGATTGACGGTGCAATTTTAGCTTCCGGCATTGTGTCTGATCACAGTAATCGACCAGGATATCGTTCGTGGAGAATAATTAGTGCAAAACAACGAAGCCGCTTGAGGGGTGATCGGACGTCGGTGCCCCGACCGAAGCGAACGTTGCTTTGAAGCGTCTATTGAGGGTTTCGATCCGTTGGGTTCTTTCCCAGACTTTTGCTCGCGCCAAGCAACTCCCAGAACTGTTTTGTATACAATGATTGCTCGGCACAGAATATTGCGACTAGCCATCCTTCCATCAAGTCGCTACTTCAGCTCCTTCGAATCTTCAGTGAAACTGCCAACCGGTGTAGCCTATCGACAGCCAATCGGTCTGTTCATTTCAAATGAATTTGTTGCGTCTAATGATGGGAAGCAATTAACCACATACAATCCGCGGTGAGCTCCGATCTAATCTTCCCCCGACATTTTGTCCTAAACAGCGTAGGTCTGGAAAACCAATAGCTAATGTTTTCGCTGCCGGCTCTCCCGATGTCGATTACGCTGTTCAAACGGCAGAATCGGCTTTCCGTTCCTGGCGCAGTACATCGGGCACAGATCGTGGAATACTTCTATACCGTTTATGCCGCCTTATTGAGGAACATAAAACCCTTCTGGGGTCTATCGAAGCATTTGACACAGGGAAAACCTTGGTACGTCTATCAGTTCAAGATTTCTACCGGGCAACTCCTGATTCGAGGATTAGGATACAGTTGTGACAGAAGACATCCAAGACTGTATAAACGTGACGCGCTATTACGCAGGATGGGCAGATAAGATCCACGGGTACAGCATTCAGCCCTTTGCCGAGAAATTTGCATATACTCTACATGAACCGTTCGGTGTTTGTGCCTTGATTGTACCGTGGAACTATCCTTTGATGTCCGTATAATGTCAGCTATCCCGACTTCTAATGAAGTCTTTGCTAATAGATGTAGGCTCGCTCTTTGGAAGCTGGCGCCTGCAATCGCCGCAGGAAATACTGTTGTCCTCAAGACTTCGGAGTTAACTCCGTTGTCAAGTTTATATCTGGGCAATTTAATCACAGAAGCGGGATTTCCCCCTGGTGTTGTTAATATCTTATCTGGCGATGGTAACACTGGTGCTGTATTAGCTTCACATCCCGGAATTAATAAGGTATTTCTTCTGCTTCGCGAAGACGAACTTATGACTAAGATGATAGATATCGTTCACTGGCTCAGCAACAACTGGTAAGAAAGTCATGCACGCAGCAGCAAATAATCTCATCCCTGTTGTGCTCGAACTCGGAGGCAAGTCGGCAGCGATAATCTTCGAAGACGCGGACTTGGAGCAGGCGGTGAAATGGTGCTATTCAGGAATTATGAATAATGCCGGGCAGATATGTTCAGCGACGTCGAGAATTTTAATACAGGAGAGCATATACAAGAAATTCGTGGAAATGTTTAAAGCCTACACTATTCATAGGATGAGCGCTGGTCCTCTCGATCATGGTCCTCAGATTTCTGATGTACAACTAGAAAAGGTCATG